CCATCAAAATCTGGGGGGGGGGGAGAAGGTTAGGTTTGCTATGACAAAAAACTTACTATAAAAGCACTCAAAATCCATGGCATTTTAAGATCTTATACAATAAATGAAATTTTGAATACACTTGGTTTTTTGTAGACTCATAAAAAACCATAATTGAATACCACAATATTTTCATTGACGTTTTATAAGTTATAAAAAGTCTTTATTTAATACATGGTAACTTTTGTTGACTCCTTAAAAGTCTATATTTTTTTTCTTTGCCACACATTATTACGGTCTGATGGTATTCCTTTTCACTTGGAAGTGAGAGATCTTAGGTTCGAATCTTGTGGATGGATACCAAATTAGGTTGCCCATTGTGTGGCTTAGCCGAGCTCTCCCTCCTCCCAGTGTAAAAATATTGATGTACTAAAAAAAATAGAAGTCTATATTGAGTACATTTAGATTTGAAAGCAAAGCCCATCAAATTCCATATACAATTCACATTCTAAAAAAGTAGTCACTAAACGAGTAAGGACGGAGCTAAAAACTTATATATGGGTGGGCTAATTTATTTTCTTTAGTATGAAGTGAGATTTAGAAGTTGGGGGTAGGCCAATTTTCTGTTTAATTTGTGAATATATATTAGGCTTAAGTTTTCCACAACATGCTTATTTTAACACCAAAAATTTTCGTCTTTTATAATTTAGGGTATGCTAGAGCCTAGAGCATTCATTAGCTGGCTCCGTTGTTGTAAACGAGTTTTCAGTTTTCTAAATAAATAAAAAATGACAACAAAAATTGAAAATTAAAATCAAAATAGTTATGAGAGGTCCCTTATGAAAAAGATGTGAAAGTGACGTGACAATGGAATGTCATATATTCCCTATATATGTTATATATGCTTTCAAGATCAAACCTGTTTTCTCATATCATGATCATCTCAACCATTATCTCTCTGCCAGCAAAAAAATAAGAAAAAAGAACTACAGAAAGAAAAACATCATCATCAGTTCATTATTTCATCATTCACTTACTCATTGATCGAGATGCTACCAATGTTTTCAGAGACAAAAGTGTAAGTCGAGGGTTTTTGTCTCACAAAACGAGGCGAAGTCTTGAGATGTTGAGGTGTTAAGCTTAAGTCTTTTATGTCTTATCTCATTATTAAAATAAATATGTACAATAAAATATAATTTAGGCAAAAATATCATTACAATAGTCATTGGAGCATAATAATCATTCACAAATATGGGATCGCCGCTATCACTGCAATAGTGGTGGTTTTCAGTTGAAATTGGTGAGAAATGACGGGACCAAACCAATCCATGAAATTCAATACACGTATGGGGTGGGCTGCCGGAGTTGGCGAAAAATTAAGCTTGTGCCGGTGCGCGAACAAGAAAAAAGTTTGATAAAGAATAAGCTTATCTTATATAAATAGCTCTAAATTCCTTACAAGTGTACATAAATAAAATAAAACCGCTCTCTCTTTCACTAATACAATTTCATCTCATCTATTCCCTGTCTTGCCAAATAATTTATTTGAAAAATAAAAGGGTGAGGGATGAGCAACAACCACCGTCGTCCAGTGACAGAATATATAATATGCTAGTTAAGAGACACTGTTTTACATACAAAAGAAAATAGGATACATATATCAAATCATTATACACAGTGTCGTGTCCGTACATGTGTTGGTTATCCTATATAAAATATAGCTCATCACGTGATCCCTAATTTATAGCCATTATGTCTTAATTTTCTCGTGTCATGTACATTTTTCCCTTAAATAAAACTTAAAATTCTCATGCTCCATGAACATTTCCAAGTAATTCTACATAGATATGTATCTATCCGTCAAAACTTTAATTAACACGAAATCAAACATACTTGCTACAACGAAACCATGCATGATTGATGCATGCAGATGCATGGTTGATGCATGGTTGATGCATGCAGATGCATCATGCATGCATGCTGTGTCCAGCAATCCAATCCTCCTTGGGAACTCGATAGAAAAGCGGGAAGCTTTGTAAAGTATTCAAATTGTACAATAAAGTAGGGTCCCACAAATTCACATTCACCTTCTAAGGAATATATTCATTTTATCGAATAATTCTCTATAGATCACATAAAAAGGAAAGGATGCTTGAAATTCAAGCAAACATACCCATAACACTAAGCCAACCAACTTTTCCACTGGTTTTTAGCTTTGAATTAAAACCATTATTATTATCAACTAAAAGTTAAATCATTACTTTGCTTGAATTATATTATAATTAGTGGTTTAATTTAAAGAAGAATAATCTCTAATTCTAAATTGAAATGCTTTGTTTCTCTCACACATTTTTGGATAGAGGAGGGTGCCAAAATTATAAAGCAATTTCGTTTACATGCAAAGGGTGGTGGGGGAGGGTCAAATCTAAGGAACTCAAAAAATCTATGCTGCAATGTTTGATTTCCTACCTGACATGAATGCGTAGGTTTGATTTGAACAATCAGGCAGAACCTGGTCAACATCTTTTACTAATATGGGGCCAAATCATATATGTAAACAAAGATGGGACGGTCATAAAGTGTTCTATATCTTAAAATATTGAGCTTTGTGTAACTCATGAAGTTCTAGATTTTTAGGAGAAGAATCTTCCTTTGATTGTTAAAGAAGAAAGCATTTATTCTCAATTGAGATTTAGGCAAATACTATAGAGTCACCGGTACAATTATGGTTATAGACGAAAATGTACATAAGAAAGTTTGTTAAAAACCGTAGTTGTGTTTTAGTATTTCGAATTTTTTAGACTCTAATTGATGTGATAGTGTTCTATTTGTCAGGTACATCTTATAACCTACTCGCAATAAATAAAAAATTGCCATTTGAATTGATAACTATAAGTTGAAAAAGATAGCTCGTGACTGAATAGTATTATTAAATATGCTAGTATGTACTTCAGTTCAAATAATTAAAAGCGTTCGCCCTTATACTTAAAAACTCCAGTTTGACCCCCATTTTTTGGGTGAAGTACTAATAGTAATTAGCAAATATATATATAATGACTTGTGTAGATATTTAACATTTTGCATGAGAGAGAGAGAGAGAGAGAGAAAGAAAGAGAGAGAGAGGGATTTTTATTGGGGTGTGCTATCCACACACCCCTTTTCACTTCTCACACACCCTTGTTAATTTCTATCCGTTAGATCTTCTTCATTTCATCTGATCCGACGGCCGAAAATTAAAAGGGTGTGTGAGAAGTAAAAATGGGTGTGTGGATATCACACCCCTTTTTATTTTGTTCTCCATTTTGCGTTTTTCTTCACGTTGTTCATATATACGCATCCTAATTTGCATCCTTTAGTATATAGAGTGAGTGGGGCATTGTGGTAGCTTATTAGGTTTGACCTAAATATTGAGTTGTTTTGTTTGTTGTTGTGGATTGGAGTAGGAATATATTCTTACTTGAGTTGTTTTGTTTGTTGTTGTTTGGATTGGAGTAGAAATATATTGCATGGCAGCTGAGCAGTCTTTAGTTCCAGGAAAGTGAGATAAGGGATTGAGGCCCAGCAAATTAAGCTTTAGAAGAAGTAAGGCCAAGGTCCCCTACTCCTCATGTCATCAAAAGCTCCACATTACACCACCCTTTATGCATTGATGCTCACGTCCTCATATATTACCAACCACAAACCCTAAAGTTTGGTTCCTTATTTTCTTGTTTTTTAGTGCTTTCTCTCCTCCATATATAATTAAATCGAGCATTCAGATTCATTGATCTTTAATCTTATAAATATATACAACATATTAATTTGATAGTTTATCTTCACATTTAATCTTGAGACGTGTTTGATGAGGGTTTTGCAAACAATATTTTTGGATATATGACGTTGAAAACATGTCCTACGCAGCATTTTATACTTCATGGAGTATTATGTGATGAAATGTTCGTATGAAAATACGATTGATATGAAAACCTACGCATAAAGATTATTTTAAACAACCATGCACATTAAGAGTAGTAACAATTTAACTTTAGGATAAGATCTAATGGGTCATATCTATATTTCCGTTTCGATTATCTTTCTGATAACCAAGTTCTTGTAATCACATATAGTCCCAAAAGCTTGATGCAATGCCTAACCATTCAATAATGACAGAGTCGGAATCTTCCAAGAAGAAAGCGTAATTAAAATCGGCTGACATAAGATAAATACTAATTTTTAGTTAAATGAAGACAAATTTACTGCTAAACACTCATTGAACCAAATCGAGCTAGCAGCACGAATAAAGGGGGAGAAAACTTGAAAACTAATGGGGTTGATGGCAAATGAATCTTACATTAATTAATACAAACACGAAAAAAATGGTAATAATGATACTTGAAACCTTTTTGTTGGTAATGACATAAAGGATGTCGTTGTGTTCTAAACACCATATGATGTTGGATATATAGGTTTATAATTGGTTCAATGTAAGTATACTAAAAACTATGGTGAAGGTTTATATATATAATGAGGGAGAGAAGAGGGGATATATATGTGTGTGTGTGTGTATGTATATGCAGTGTTATATGTATACATGGTTCAGAAAAAGAAGGGGGAAATAAAATACAACATATACTGCCCATTGTCATTGCCATGAGGGGTCTCATTCATATCTTAATGCCAAAAAAAAAAAAAAAAAAAAAAAAGCTTTCACATGCTAACAGAATATATAACACTACAAAGATCTCTTCCTCTTTTGGAAATAACAAACTAATTAAAGAAACGCCACTAGAAAAAAACCACTCAAATTAATACTATCTAATTACATTATAATATATATAATCAACATTCTGGCATAAGTATAATTAGCGTAAAATTGGTGTAGAGAGAGAGAGAGAGAGAGAGAGAGAGAGAGAGAGAGAGAGAGAGAGAGAGAGAATATTTTGGCAAAGGCAGGCCAGCAGCACAAATTAGGGTGTGCTTTAATTTTTTTATTTTTTATTTTTAAATGATAAACAATTTTCTTTTATACAAGGTTAGCTTGTCTCCCATGCTTTCTAGTACTTGAGAGAGAAACCAAAGGCAGCCCACCTCCTCTTCTTCAAAACCGCACCCTATTCTTCCCTATTTGCATCGCATTTGTTCTTGAATCTCTCGGTATTCCCAGAGCCCCCAACTCTGAGTGAGAGAGAGAGAGAGAGAGAGAGAGAGAGAGAGAGAGAGAGAGAGAGAGAGAATAATGTTCCAACACCAACACCAACACCACAAGAAGCCATCAACTATGACTTCCCATGACAGACCCATGTGTGTCCAAGGGGACTCTGGCCTTGTCCTCACCACTGACCCTAAGCCTCGTCTCCGATGGACTGTCGAGCTCCATGAACGCTTTGTCGATGCTGTCACTCAGCTTGGAGGACCAGACAGTAATACCACCATTTCAAGCTTCATCATATATGAAACTTTCATGCATATTATGCACATAAGCTCATTGATTTCCCTCTTAATTTTTCAGAGGCTACACCTAAAACTATCATGAGGGTTATGGGTGTGAAGGGTCTTACACTTTATCACCTCAAGAGCCACCTCCAGGTTTAATTTTCATACACACATAATGTTTTTTTCAAACTTTTTCGGTCGGCTATTGATATTTCTTTTTCTCTCTTTTCCATTCTTCTCGTTAATTTCTTTTGTTTCCTACTTGTAAAGAAATTTAGGCTTGGAAAGCAACCTCACAAGGAATTCAATGACCACTCAATCAAGGATCATGGTATGAGTATATATGACTCCTTTCTAGGGTTCCTTACAGTACATATATATATATACATGTATAAAATTTCGACTGTTTTCATTAACAAATTTTAGTTTTCATGTGGCATATCTGATTTCTATTCATTGATTTTCGTGGCAGCATCTCCACTGGATCTCCAACGAAATAGTGCATCTTCTTCTGCCATAATAGGCCGCAGTATGAATGAGTATGTATATATATTCTCTATTCTTTTTCTTTCTCTTATTTTTTTTTTTCGTTTAGGAATTTTAATATCTTGAAGAAAGTATGTATAACCTTTTTATCAATTATGCAAAGAAATTATTTATTATTAATTTTAAAACTCGGTTGGCTAGGTATATCCTTTCATATGCTTTGTTGTGGGCTGGGGATTTTGCATTTTCTTGTGGAATGTATGTGAAAAACTGTATCTAACGGTATTAATTGCAACATGGTTGATGAGATCAGGATGCAAATGGAGGTGCAGAGAAGACTGCATGAACAATTGGAGGTATATTTCAACTCATGCATTAGTACCTAAATATATCAGTGATCAAAATTCAAAAGTAATTAAGGTTCTGTACATATATTTCATGCATGGATGACCTTGATCCTGATTATAATATGTTGTACTATATATATAAAAGGTCCAGAAACACCTTCAGTTGAGAATCGAGGCTCAGGGAAAGTACATGCAAAGCATATTAGAGAAAGCCTGCCAAACACTTGCTGGTGAGAACAGTATGGCAGCTGCTGCTGCAGGAAGTTACAAGGGTAATATTGGAAACCAAGGTGTCAACCCTACTGACATGGGAGCGTTGAAAGATTTCAATTCTTCTCTCAACTTTCCATCTTTTCAAGACCTTAACATATATGGAGGAGACCACCTCGATCTTCAACAAAACTTGGACAGGCCACCTCTTGATCACAGTTTCATGCCGACTAACGATAACAACATTTGCTTGGGATCAAAGAAAAGGCCTAGCCCTTATAGTGGTAGCGGCAAGAGCCCTTTGCTTTGGTCTGACGATCTCCGGCTTCAAGACTTGGGAACAGCCGCGTCATGTCTTGGACCTCAGGATGATCCTTTCAAATCATCAGATTCAATTCAAATTGCTCCGCCATCTATCGAGAGAGGCTCAGAGATCGATTCTATTTCAGACATTTACGAATCCAAGCCAATGTTACAAGGAGATGACAAGAAGTTTGATTCAGCAAATACACTCGAAAGGCCTTCGCCACGGAGAGCACCACTAGGCTCGGACAGGATGAACCCCATGATTAACAGTGGTATTCGACAAGGAAGAAATTCACCTTTCGGGTCAGCCCAAAATCAATATTAAGATTTGAAGGATGAGATCGATCTAGGGTTTTGGTCCATGCACGACATGAAGGTTTTCTTTTTATTTTGTTTTTTTCTTGTCGGGATGTTCATGCTGGTTATTACGTCATATTAGGTTTCTACTAAATTAAAGTATGATAAATGCCATGCATGGCAAACCTATAAAGTTACACTGTTAAATTTATCAGCACATTTGTAGCTTGATACCTAATTTCCACATTTCCATGGATGTCGTGGTAAATTTGATCTTGACATGAATAAGTACTATATATGAGTGGCAATGTGCAACATTAATTCCTGAATACTAGTTATGAATAATAACTTTTTTTAACAATAAAAACCTTCAGGTATATTTTCTTTGTTCATTAAGTATGATTGAGAAAGCAAAGTAATATATTGTTCCTTACTTGCAAGTAATACAACTTCGATTGTACTTTTCAAGTCTGATATTCAGCATGCAAACTTTGATGTCTCTCGTAGGTATTAATCAAGATATTTTATTTAAAGGTTTCAGCATGCATTCTTTAATTAAAAGAAACTGAACTGCAACTTCTAGTTCCCAATTAACGTTTAGTCTTAAGAACGTTATAGCTTAGGTCATCTTACGGTTGGAGGATACTTTGTTTTTTACAAGCGTTTGAATTCCATAATACATTAGGGTAAGGCCATGCACTTGAAGGGTTTTTATGTCCCCCTCCCTCCCTCCCTCCCTCTCTCTCTCTCTCTCTCTCTCTCTCTCTCTCTCTCCTTTTCATTTTTTGAGTTGCAGGTATGGTAATAGTATGTGGTCAATGTGATCCCATGTTTATTAGATTAATTCTATTGTTATATCATATATGAAGACTAGCAAGTTGCAATGATGCTGCTTTTTTATGTTAGTTAATCTTCTTGTTGAAGACAAAACCTTTTGGGATAATAACTAAGAATTTAACAAAACATATTTCCCAATAAAGTACAAAATTGTATAAGCGCGCTAACGAACAAATGCATAGAGCACAGTAAAGAAAACAAATTGATTATACAATTATTAAGGAACAATACAATACTCATTTGGCATAGGAAGATCTTAAGGGAGGACGTGCTCCTTTTTAAAGATGAGAAAGAATTCCCTACAAGAAGCCGACCAATAGTATATATCTAAATATCTTTCAAGCTCCTTTTTCACTCTTTAGTCCTTCACATTCCTTGGGTGTCATACAAGGAGGCCGACAACAAGTGTACCTTTCATCAATTTTTTTCTTTACCCAACAATAAGTATGTACTTGACTTTATCCACTTTACTAAACAATTTTTAACACAACTACTTACTTAGGTGACATATATAGTAATTGACTTTTATTTCGCAATACATACAAACTGAAAGACTTGTTGATGCAACTGTTTGATATATTTGAGTCCTACATGTAATCATAAAGCTCACATCTATAATATAAATGTGTTAGCAAGTATGTCAGTATTGTGTGTTTAAGTTTTATTGAAAAAAAAAGAAAAAAAAAGTCTCATGATTGGTGCACTTAATTTGATTTTTTGATAATCTTGCATGGATTCTTTTCTTTTTCTTTTTAAATATTATTATTATTAAGGGGATAGAGGATTCAAAATTATTACAATAATCTAGAGACCCATAATGCATGGCTGGAAACCCAACACCTTATTCATTAGGTTATAGGGCCACATGCAATCATGCATGGATTCCAATTACTAATATTATTATAGTAAGATAGAGGTCATGTGTGTATCTAACTGCCTCTAACAGGTGATCCCATTAAGGGCAAAGTAAATGGATTAGATCCATGCAGAGTGAGAGGGGGTTCTCTTTCGTGTGTGGAAAAAGAAAGTGGTGCCACAATTGGCTTTATTGGTTGCAGAGAAAAATCTAGCCACTGCAAGTTGGCAGGAAAGCTCCCCTCTGATTAGAAGTGGCAAATTAATTCATTGGGTTATTAATGGGTACTCATTAAGACTCATTTAGTTTAATTTCATTTTACACCATAATCATCATTACAAATCGTAACCTATATATTATGATGATATCAAATTAAACAAATCTTAACGAGTACCTATTAACAATCTAATAGATTGATTTGCCACCTTTACCTCTAATCTCAGCATAGACACAATTGAAGGGAGCGGGAGAGATGGAGAAAAAGATGATAAAGCCTAAAAGCAAGGAAGAATACAACGCACTCCCACGCGTGCACATATCGAGGAAGCTTCTATCTTTATGTGGGCAAAGTTAAAGGGTACTCTCATTGCATCAAAAGCTGCTGATGATGATCATGGCTATATATGAAGCTATATTGATTAATTACGTTTTTCTTTTTATATAATTTCAGCAGTTTGCATGCAGTAATAATATTTTTGTAATTTATAAGGAATCATGATCAGCATATGATTATGATTTGAAGAAGCTGTTATTCAAGGCATATCCTTCCATCATGCAAATGCAAATCATTTGCAGTACTTGTCCAACATAAGTACTTTGAATTCTGCATGTTACTCATTTGACAACTTTGGGTCTTTTTAGTAAATAATTTTCCTGTTGCTTACGAAGTATACACCAGAAGCTTCTTTTGTTCCCCCCCCCCCTCCTCCTCTCTCTCTCTCTCTCGTATACATACATGGACCCTGGTAAAACATTAGTACTGATCAGTTAGGACACGCCCACAACTAAACCACCACCTCTTGAAAATGGCATGGCTGGCTCTATGCGTTTTCACCCCCTACCAAAAGAGAAAGCAACCACTTAAATAAAAACAAAGAAGAAGCAATTAACGTTTATTTGATCCATATGGAATAAATAAAGGAGACAAAGAGACACTGCACCTTTAACGTAGCTAGTATATTCAAAGAAGACTTATCATTTCTAGCTAATTCAAAATTAAAAAATAATAATAATAAAAAAAAAAAACTAGTGTGTATTTGATCCTATGGGATTGGCATAATAACGAGTAGGGAGTAGTGATGATCTTGAAATAATGTAGTTCGGTCGATGCACATATCGGCTAACAAGAAAAATAACTTCTGCTTTGTATTTAATATGCTGCACATATAACAGATAAATCCTACAAATATGTGCATTATTTATGTGAAAAAATTGAGATGTGTACAGATCGAAGTTGCACAATTGGTAATTTACGTACTAACCTGGATCGCTGGGTTTCAAAGACATTTTCTTTTTGTTATTGATGAATCTTACACACATTAGTTACTAGCTACGTTTACGTACTAATCATGATCAGCATATCCTATTACTGAATGAGAGTACTATGTTTAATGCTCGTAGTACCAACAAGGAGTCCACGACTCATACTTATATAACGTACATAACGTAATAGGATATGCACATCATAAGTCTATTAGGAATCCTTATGCATCTATACATCCTTATATTAAGTCCAAATAGACTAGGAAACCTCTTGCTCATATTTCTTAAAGTCATGGGTTAATCTCAGTTTACTACCCTGAAGTTTCTTGGTTTTCAACATTTGGTACATAAATTTTTTTTCGTCCCAGTATGGTACCTAAAGTCATAATTCTGGAACACTCTCATACATCTGTTAAGTTTTCTGTCAAATGCTCTGTTAACTGATGATGTGACGCCCATGTGGACAATGACTGAATGCCACGTGTCAATATGGGCCCACGTGGGTACTAAAACAAAAAAAAAAAACTATTCTCTTCTCCTCCCCCTTCTCTTCCCCGATCCCTCCCACTCATCCCTCTTCAACCCCTCCCTTCTCTCTCCCCAAATCAACCTTCACCCACCCCAACCCATGTTGGAAATTATATATTATAATATGAAATATTGTAATATATAATTTTAATAATTGAATGAAAAATAGGTTAACCAATTTCTTAGAAAGGTTATGTTGTTTAGGTGATATTCCCTTTATAAGTGATGTACACATATAAATGAAAAGTTACATCTCTTTAATAAGTAGAAGTTGGATTCTATATAAACCCATGTTACCATTGGTATTTAATATAGAAAATTAGAGTTAATTTTTACTCTTGAGAAATAGGGTTTCCCCACTTTGTTTCTCAAATGATTCATGTGTCAAATTCCGAGTCGTGTCTTGAGAGTACGGAATATATAAAGTTCGCCAGAGTCCGAGGATTGAAGTGCTTTGACTTCGGATTATAGATTGTTGAATCCTGGGAGATAGACGCCTATCGAACTACAAGCACAAGAGTAGGGACGAAATTCTATCTTTAGGACATTGCATTTATGCAAGCCTCAATCTCCAAGTTTGTCAGTTTTTCTAACTTTTTCTCTATTTGTTTATATTAATCTCATATATATTATTGATGTTGTGAATTTCCTTTATAATTATTATTATTGGAATTCTTGTGTTATTTTTCATATTTTCTAATATTGCTCCAACAATCTAAAGATAGAAGTTTTTATCTCTATGGAACAATAAAAAATATGAATGTTCACGATTCTCATATTGAGAGTTTAAAGTTGTGGCTTTAAAAGTCTTGGACATCATGTGTGTTATATTTGATGTGAAGCCTAGAATTGATGCAATTAAGACTTCAATCTCTGATTTAGTCTTGATGATTGGGTTGGATGATGTTGTGGTATTATCCATGTGGAGCGATGTCAATCAACCGCTTGTTTCTTTTTGAAAAGATGAAATTTAAAATTATAACTTTCTGGGCAATGCATCACTTGATGAAAAGACTTGAGCAGTTTGTTTGGGTGATTTGGATCACTGGTATGTATATGCATGCTTACGTCTATATGTGTTTATCTTGAAAGCATGAATTGCATGACTTATGTGATATGTCTTATGGATAAATTTCTTAATTTCAAAGATCAATAATAAATATTTATATCCATTATATTTGAGTCAAGGATTTTGAGTCATATAGAACCATGTGGCGGTTAAGTTGTAGAAAGATGCAGCTATTTAACAAATGGATGGTTTTGTAATGTGGTGGAATTGAAAATTGAAATCTGCAATGTGAGATTCAAAGAAAAAAGCATGCCATTTGAAAAGCTACTTTTGACAGTGAAATGGTATGACCTTTCCAACTAGTCATTGACAAATGTGTTCATGGGCTGGTATGTAAACTTCTACATACCGACTGGATGTATTATCATATAGTGATAATAATGTTGCAAAATCGTTTATATGCTTTCTTCGAAGTGATATATTTATAAATTTCAAGAGGCCCATGATGATATTGAGTGTCATTTAAAGTGATATTAATATAATGAAATAATCATGAAAGTGTGGGGGTCTTTCATAAAGGACAAGACCTATGTTGAAGGAAAT